AGAGAGAGAGAGAGAGAGAGAGAGAGAGAGAGAGAGAGAGAGAGAGAGAGAGAGTTGTTATAGAATGATGATCATCGTGATCACATGGCAGGCAGCCCACAAAGCAGTGCACGCGCATCTCATAGCATTACATCGAGCCACATAACAGTGCACTCTATCCCAGGCCATATAGTAGACATAGCACCACATAGGACAACTCTCTGCACATATAGCACCACACTCAGCTGACACCCCATCCACCTAGCATCGCTTAACAGAGCATGGCACTGAATACTATATCTAGTACCACATACTGCCATGTTGCTACACAGTAAGAGAGAGTACCGCATAATACAGCACCTGGACCGAATAGTACCACACCCACCCAACTACCGCATAGTGCCACATACTTCCGTACATTACCATACAGTACGAGATAGGACCCCATAATGCCACATGCCGCGCACACTGCAGCACATCCACTTAACCTGCATAGCGTCACACCCAGTGCAATTTGTACCGTTCCCCCCCCGGTTGATCACAGCATGCTGGCATAAAGCTGCAGGCAGGCAGTCAGAGTGGAGAGAGAGAGAGAGAGAGAGAGAGAGAGAGAGAGAGAAGACAGACAGAGGGCCCCTTTCAGCCCATCCTGTACAAACCTTGCTTGGAGACGCAAGACACGATATGTAGGTCCGTCCTTTGTCTGTGCATGATGCAGTACCTTGAGGAAAATAACCACCGAAAAGACGACAGCATGTATCTCTCTGGCTTATCCCATCGCACGGTGTGCTTGCGATTTATGCACCCTATTACCAACAAAAGTAGCTCTTATTAAACACAAAGGCTCGTTACGTTGTACTTCGTCGCTTCCTCGTTTTGCAGAATCGCTGTGGTTTCTATGGAGGAGTGGAGTTTTATATCAAGGGCATCCTCGACATCGGCATTTCGTAAGTCCTTTCGAGCAACAACACCTCAATTTGAAAAGATGTCCCCTCGAACGAGTTGCCGGAAAAAATGTTTCCTATGTCATGCTTGTGCCCCATCTGACTATTTCTGTTAATTGTGTATTTCACACCCCAAGTTTGATGCAACGTTTGTCCAATACATGCACTCTTTTTTTTTTTTTTTTTTTTTTTTTTTTTGAAGCACACAAGCTCCATCTATTGGTGGGGAGCAACACCTGCTGGAAATCGGGTCCAGCGTCCCATAGATGCAACCATATCCTCACAGATTGGCACAAACTGGGAACCGGGCCCAGCGTCCCATAGCAAGTACGTTCAGAAACCCATCAGAAAATTTCGTGAGAACTATCCAATACATGCGCTCAAACAAGATAGCCAAAAAAAAAAAAAAACAAGAGTAGATATCCCATGAACAAAGTCATAGCATTGTCCTCAATTTGATATGAAGTACAAAAAAGACTTAAAGGTAATAATAAAGTAGGCAGTGTGGTAAAAAAGAAGAAACTAGTCCAGCTGCGTATTCTCAAAGCTGTCCTCCTATCTTATTGGAATATACTATATAGTATATACTATAGAGTCATATACTTTGAGGCTCAATAGGCAACAAGATTGTCAGTATCCCCTGAGATGAGATTCCATCCCAGGATCTCAAGTTTTGTAAGTAAACAAACAGTTACAAACTAACTTGGCAAATGGGAAGAAACAAAAAAAAAAAAAAAGGTTTGGCAAATGAAGTTCAGATTGACCCTTTGCCCTGTCATGGATGGTTTCTGTTTGGTAGCCTCCAGTCTCCCCCCGGATAGAATGCGCGGTCATCATACCTGTATCTGGCCTGAAAGTTGCTCCAAATAGACGTATAAATATCATCTCTGCTGTTCAGAAAAGGACAGTAGGTTTTGGTCCTACAGTGGCAGTGCCTTAGCCAGTCCAGTCATCATACCTGTATCTGGCCTGAAAGTTGCCCCAAATAGAGGTATAACTATCATCCCTGCTGTTGAACACGGTTCTGGCTGCTACGGGGTTCCCCATATGCCTACAATTAGTAGTAGTGGTAGGTAGGTAGTGTGAGGTGAAATTGGGAGAAGAATATAGCTTTTTACAAAAAAAAAAAGAAAAAAAAAGGACAGTGGGTCAGTGCTTTAGCCAGTCCAGTCATCATTCCTGTATTTGGCCTGGAAGTTGCTCCAAATAAAGGTGTAAATATCATCTCTGCTGTTCAGAAAAGGACAGTGGGTTTTGGTCCTACAGTGGCAGTGCCTTAGCCAGTCCAGTCATCATACCTGTATCTGGCCTGAAAGTTGCTCCAAATAGAGGTATAAAATTATAAATATCATCCCTTCTGTCGGAAAAGGACAGTGGGTTTTGGTCCTACAGTGGCAGTCCCTTAGCCAGTCCAGTCATTCCAGGAGTAGAATCCGCCCTGCCAGGAATAAGTATGGTTGTTGCTGCTCACTCGGCCGCCACACAGATAATAGTATCGAGATCTGTGTTGCTCGCTAAGTCAATGCACCTAAAAAAAAAAAAAAAAAAAAAAAAAAAAAAAAAAAAAAAAAAAAAAAAAAAAAAAAAAAAAGCACCTTCGGACGGGGAAGGTTGAATGAATGAGTTTGAGGCATGTGCATCTATCTAGTCTAGTCTAATCTATCTTATCTAATCTATATCTAATATAGACCTGTCTAATCTAATCGTATCAAACCTAATCTATCTCATCTCATTTATGCAGGCTAACCTATCTGATCTATGTAATCTATTCCAGCTGGTCTATCTGTCTAATCTAATCTTATGTAATCTACATAATATGTCAATCAGTCTATCTATCAATGTTTCTTTTCTCTTTCCTTCTGTTTTTTTTCCTCTTCTTCTTTTTTTTTTTTTTTTTTTTTWARAAAGGGCGACGCGCCTGAGATATGATCGTTGAACTGACCGGCCCCAGGTAATTCAGAATTATTTTATTCTGGTCATCTGATTGTATCTCGATGCGAACTTGGGTCTTTATTTCAACAGTTTGTGGGTGTACCAACTGAGCTAGGCCCGTCGGTCTATCAGTGTTTCTCTCTCCCCGATGCGGCTATGCCAATGATATGCAGCGAAGGGCACAACGAACGTACGTGGGTGGAAATCGCAACAGAACAGCGGGTGTGGTGCAGGGAGCGGCAAGGGAGGGCTCCTCCTCCCTTTTCTTTTTCTTATCGTAAATCGGATCCCATCATTTCATCCCATCATTTCATCCCAACATTTAATTTATCACAGCTTGACATGCTGTCTTTCATTTTCTGCATGGCACCGCATGGCACAGCATGGCACCGCACAGCATCACATTTGTCATTAGGATTTTTCAGTTTTTCACTGAATTTTTGAGAGAATTTTTGACTGATGACTTGGTTTTCAACACCTGCAGGTGCATGCTATTCAGGACTTGAACTCATGTAAATGTGTGTAGTACTGTGTACCATCCAGGATTGCAACTCATGACTCGTTTTGTCTACACATGTTTACAACCGTATTCACCCGAATAGAACAAGCGGTCATTATAGACGTATTGGGTGCACTCTTCAGTCCAGATTCAGCTATAATAACCGGGCGTTCTATTCGGGTGAAGACGGTGGTCACGACTTGAGCTCATGACCTGTTTTTCAACAGCTACCTATGTGTATGATGATGATGATTCACCTACAAGGCCGTGACAGGAGGTATCGCACAACGCACACCAATCTCCCATACAGCGGTCTCTCAAAACCACCTACTCTGAGTGGAGACAGAGTTTTCCAGTTAGGGGAGTGGTAGATAGTAGATAGACAACAAAAAAAAAAAAAAAAAAACACTTCCAAAAAAGGGTGGCGGCCTCGAGATATCATTATTGAGCTAACCAGCCCCAGGTAATTCACAGTCATGTTATTTGGTTCATGTGATTGCATCTGGACTTGAACTTGGGTCTGTATTTCAACAGTTCATGGGTGTACCAACTGAGCTAGGCCCGTGGGTAATTACTAATTACTAATTACTAATTAATAATTATTATTATATCACTATATGCGTCACACAGTTACGTTCCGTTATTATTCTTATTGTTGGTGTTATTAACTTATTATTAATCAATTTTATTACAATGTTATTACTATTATTGATCGTCATACAGCCTCCTGATGAGTCGGTGAAACTCTGATGAGGCACTCTGTCACAGCCCCTCATTTGTTGTCCTTTTTCTCACTCTCTACCGAAGTTTTACCCTTGCCTAGGAACAACGCGGGCTTGCTGCACCTGTTGTACCCATGATTGGTTGATGTATCAACATCATGGATCGACCCTGCAAGGAATCGAGCTGGTGATCTTCGGCTTAACAGCCAGACGCCTTAACCCCTGCAACCGCGACCTAGTGTCCAAAAGTGGAAACATAGAGGCAATGATATCCACACCATCCCAGCACGGTTGCAATATGAACACACACTCCCGACACAGCACCATCTGAGACCCTCCTACATTTTCAGGAGGGGTTTTTTCAGGGTCATTATAACAAGCGTCCCACACCTTCTAAGCCAGACTTGTAATCAGTCCGTAGAGTGGACACCAAATAAACCAACAGCAAAAAACAAAATGAAAAGGGAAAAAAAAAAATGGATCAAAGGGGACTTAAACCCCCAAGGCAAAAGTGTGTTTTCATGCAAAATTTGCTCTTTTTTTTTTTGTTTCGGGAATTTCAGGATTTTCAGGGCTGGAAGCAGACATGGCATGGGAACAACCTGAGGAACCTACGAGATACCTGGGAATCATGGTTACCAAAGATGGCCCAGCACCACAAATGGCACAGAACTTGTTAACCAAACAAATCAACAGAACGGGGCGTTGGGGAGACACATACACCTCATTGCTTGGGAGAGCCTTGACACTTGATACTTCTATCTTCTCTATGATGTGGTACATAGCCTCCATCTGGACCATACCGGACCAGAATATCAAAGAACTAAATAGCAAAGCAAGAGCCTATCTGTGGGCAGGTGATTCCAACAAAATGAGATATATCCCAAAAATAGCCTGGCACTACATAACCCAGAAGACCTCCAAAGGTGGGTTGGGGATAATCGACCCCAAACAAGAAACAAAAGCCCTACAGATAAAATGGATAGTCAAATTACTAACCCAACCAAGACTGGCATGGCACAAACTAGCCCTAGACAGCATCAGAGCCTTAGCTCCAGTTCAAACTCCTGCCAATATGTCAGGCTTGTTCTGGGTAATGAATAAGGACTGGACCCCGAAGAACGGTAGGAGAAGACGACGACCTGACCCACAACAGAACGAATCCGAACTGTCAACACCCTACTGGACAGCCCTTATCGTAATTTGGAGAGGAATTCAGCTGAACAAAGTAAAGAAGCCCAAATCCAAAGAAGAAGTACTTCATCAGCCCCTATTCGGAAATCAATATGTGAGGGATGCAGGGGATCTCCCTCTGTCGCTAGCAAAGGGCCAACGCTGGCTTTCGTGGGTCAGACATGGAGTATGGAGGGTAGGGCACATCTGGGACGAAGCGAAGAAGGATTGGATTGATGAAGAACAACTGAGTCATCTGCTAAAAGGTTGCCATAATCGGCACGAAAATCTGTCAACAGTCGTGAACAGCATCCCCGATGGGTGGAAAGAACTCCTAAAAGAAAAATTTTCATGGAAATCAGGAGAATGGGGGGTGCTGATCCAGGATTCCGCACCCGAGAAAGCATACCAGTTTCACCGCAGATGCCCGGGCTCGGACCTCTCGGGAGTATTCATGTCTTTTCCCATAAGCCGGTCCAATCTCAACTCGCTCTCCATCCACAATATTGACCCTCAGGAAACAATCCTCAATACTTATACGCTCCGCAAGATAAGACTGTTGGGAGCCTGGCCGAAATCAATATTCCAAATGAACACAGCGATCCAGGATCTTGAATTCGACCCAGAAGAATGGGCCTGGCTCTCAGGAAGCAACAGATTCTGTAATACTCCCATTC